GTGCATTTTTATGAGCATTAATTTCCATTCCAATCCATTCCTTCCTTTGATTCTGACTTGGATAGACCTGTTCTACTTTAACTCCAATCAGCTACACTTTCTCACCAGATTCTTCCTTTATATCTCCTCCCTTTCACACCACACAACCTCACGAACCTTCTGATTCTCAGCCTTATAGTTCCTTTACAGAATCAGCAAGCCCTCCACCTACAATAGTAAGTGGTGAAGGAGAAGTTCTTAACTCTAGCCCACCATTGCAACGAAAATCTGACCGACAAACTAGACCTCCTTCTTACCTTAATGATTACCACTGTAGTCTCTTCTCTCATCTTGGCTATACCAATGCTGCTCCCCATGTACAAGCGTCTCAACATCCAGTGGCAGCCACCTCTCATGATCTTTCCACCGTTATTTCCTATAATAACCTCTCCCCAACTTTGTAGTATTTTGCCCTTTGCATTAGTAGCATCACTGAACCTTGGTTCTACAAGGAAGCTTGTAAAATTCAACAATGGATCGATGCTATGCAGCAAGAGTTACTCACTCTCCATCAAAACCAAACATGGGTCTTGGTTGATTTACCTCCTGGAAAACACACCATAGGATGCAAATGGGTAGATCGTATTAAATTCAAATCAGACGGTTCAATTGAACGTTACAAAGCTAGACTCGTGGCAAAAGGTTTCACTCAACAAGAAGGCTTGGATTATACTGATACCTTTGCACCGGTGGCTAAAATCACCACTATCAGAGTGCTCCTCGCCATTGCTGCCGCTAAGGGTTGGCATCTTCAACAATTAGATGTCCATAACGCCTTCCTCCATGGGTACTTGCACGAGGAGGTTTACATGGCTCTCCCACCTGGATTAGTCACTGATCCTGCAGATGCAAAGAAAGTATGTAAGCTGCAGAAATCCCTATACGACCTCAAACAAGCATCTCGACAATGGTTTTCCAAGCTTTCTCAAGCTTTAATTCACCTGGAATACATTCAAAGTCATTCTGATCACTCACTTTTCACCAAACAGAAAGGTAATTCATTCACTGCAATCCTCATCTATGTGGATGATATGATTTTAGCAGGAACTGATATGGGAGAATTTTCTATGGTTAAAGCTCACCTTGACCGTGCCTTTCATATAAAAGATCTTGGGGAGTTAAAAATTTTCTTGGGTTTGGAAATGGGAAGGAGTCCTACAGGCATTCATCTAAGTCAACGAAAGTATACCTTGGAAATTCTTCATGAGATAGGCTTCCTTGACTCGAAACCTGTCAGCACGCCAATGGAGCCAAAAACTCACCTCTCTGCTCATGATGGCGCACCACCAGTTGACGATACTGCTTATCGCCATCTTGTTGGTAAATTAGTGAACCTAATGACTACGAGACCCTATATCAGCTTCGTCACCCAATAGTTAAGCCAGTTCCTCGATTGTCCGAGTCTTCTTCACCTCTGGCTGCTCATCGATTGCTTCGATATCTCAAAGGTGAGCCCAGCCAGGGGCTGTTCTTTCCAGCCTCTTCTGATTTACAACTTCATGGCTTCTCCGACTCCGATTGGGCAGGTTGCCCTGACAGCCGCCGATCCGTTTCCGGGTTTTTCACCTTCCTCGGCAACTCCCTCTTCTCATGGAAATCAAAAAAGAAAACGACGATCTCTCGATCTTCAGCGGAAGCTGAATACAGAGCTTTGTCTTATACCACATGCGAGCTTCAATGGCTTCTATTTGTCCTTTGAGATTTTGGGATTTCTCATCCCCAACCGGCACTTCTCTATTGCGGCAGTAAATCAGCCCTCTACATCGCCGCCAATCCCGTTTTCCATGAACGGACGAAGCACATCGAGCTTGATTGCCATATTATTCGTGAGAAATTGCAACGCCGCATCATCTCTACGAGTTATGTTCCTTCCAGTGACCAAACTTGCAATTTACCCCATAGAGATTTAGTTTTTTCTAAAAACTGTTTCATATATTTTCAACTAACTCATCGATTCCCTTCATGTCATGAATTAGGGAGCCGTGACACAAGTGGTAGGCCGTGAAACAGGCCAAGCACTCTTGGATTTTTTTGACACTTCACAGCTTTGGTGGTGAATGTCACAGTTTAAGCCGTCTTCTCAGGCCGTGACATAGGCTCTAACTTCACGTCCTCACTGGTTTTGACCCCCCCACTGGTCTCGAAACTCCCTGCTAAGCGCTATCCACGTGCTAAGACCTGATATGACAAAAGGAACACAACACTAACGTGAAATAGACCAATGAACTACTAGAACAAAGTCAAACAATCAACTAAATGAGGATTCAAAACATGTATTAACAGCCACTTATCATATTACAAGAAAATTATTCAAATTTTAACAACATGCTAGCAACTACATAAAGTACTTCACAACCAACTACACTCTTGTAAGACTCACAACTTTCCTCCAGACTTCCTTCAAATCCAAGTTTCCATCATGACAAAGTTCCATCAAGTTATGCATCCTCTTCACTAGCTCTGCAGGTGGCACAACAACCTCTTTATGTACCCCTCTACACCTCTCACGACAAACCATGCTTAACACCAAATTCCACACCAATATGTCATCTTTGGCATGTGTCTTCCTCCTTGCAAAGACACTAACAACCCATTCCATATATTCTCGAAGTCATGACACACAACATATTTTCCTTATCAAAGAAATAATAGGTTCAAGCACTTCATACGAATGCAAATAAGAAAAGAACAAATTATAACTGGTCTCCTGCTCACTAGTCACCTTCACACAATACAAAGTCATCATCTTGTATCTCACCCTATTGCTTCAGTTTGTCACGCGTGATGATCCTATTATGAGTCATCTAACTAACTACACTATGTCTAGCTAGAATAAAGAAGGTATACCATATCAAGAAATTCCAAGGAACCTTCTGTTTAGAAGGCCGCAAGTCTGCCCAAACCTATTTTACCTAGTACTTCTCCATTCTTTTACCCTCCAAAGAACCAAAGAATTACAACATGTAAAAAAAAGTGGCTCACCTTATCCTTTGTTTATAGCATTCTCTTCCAAATCTAGGAGTTATAAGTATTTCTTATAATATTCAAGTATGAATGATGTTTAATTTTGTATCATACACCCATGCAACCCACCATGATCCCGCCTTAGTTAGAATATTCCATAAGTGCCTAGTAGTACATGACACATTCAGGGATGTGATATACTTTACAACCAAATGTCCTCCCTTTTTTGACATTGCTACCTTATTCCAAAATACAAAAAAACTTAAAAGGCTTGAACAAGGTTCATCTGACTGATTTGGGCCCAAATGTACACATTGTACCCCTCATTTCTTATTCGTTTAGCTTAGAATTTCATAGTTCCTCGACATATTTCACCTTAGGTTGTGCTTGTTTTGATACATTTCAAGTCCTAGCACATGTGGAAGGGTCAAGGTCGAATTTTGGGATAATTGGAGGTCAAAAAGCGCAAAAATCGAAGAAAAGTTCGAAGTGAAGGCATCCTAGGAAACAACCGCATTTCACTGTCGGACAAGGCAATTCACGGTCTTCTAAGACCGTGAAGATGAGGCATGGGCCGTGAACATCAAGGCGTCCAAGGCCAAATCCCAAGTTACTGACGCTATGCGAGTTCATGGTCTCTAAGACCGTGAACTGGGGCCATTGACCGTGAACCCATGAGAGTGAAGCGGCGCGTTTTGGACGAAACTGAGTTCACAGACGTGTTTAGGTGTTCACGGCTGTGAACTGGCCAACGCGTCCATGAACTGATCACTTTCGGGCAAATATGAAGACATCAGCGGGGAGAGAAAGGAGAGCTGGTTTTTAGGGAGAATAAACACTTTCTTTCACAAGGGTTTCAACCTAAACACCAAAGGGGAGTTCTAGTGACAGAGAGAAAGAGTGCTAGAGTAATCTTGGAGCATCATTGGAGGCTTGGGTGGAAGATTCAAGCCTACAAGAAGAAGAAGAAGATATTGATCTCAAATTTGTAATCTCTCTCTCTCTCTCTAGAAACTCACTCTTTTATCTTGGGTGTTGTAGATCCCTAACTAATACTTTGTAATTACTTGTTTAGATTGAATGATTGTCAATGGGTAGCGTTTAATTCAAGGATTGAGGTATTATTCATGTTGATTGTGCGTGCTCGTGCTTAGCAATCTAAGGGTTGTGCATTTTTTGTGCTTAGCATCCTTAAGTTTGTGCATTGTGGTGCTTAGCAACCTAAGGATTGTGCATAATTGTGCTTAGTACCTTTAGGTTTGTGCATGTTGGTGCTAGCAATCTAATTAACCACTTTAACCTAGGTTAATTTAGGGAAAACCTCAATGTTGAATTAAGCAAATTGGTTAAGTGTGATTAAGCTGTCCAACCTTGAGTTGAGTGAGGGAGTAAGTCAACTATCGATTGTCTAAACCGAGATGGTCGAGTGACACGGCCTTTCATGCTTACCTCGGTTTAGCAATTGAGATTGTGGTCTCCGACCACATATGCATCCCTCTGCAGTACGCGGTTACTAGTTTGCATCTAGGTTGGCTGCGATTAAGCCGCTCAAATTCCGGTTTGAGGGAGAGACCTAGGCAATCACTAGAGCCTGAGTGAGAGGATCGATCCCGTGACAAATAGATCTCTAGCGAATCCATATCGTGATAAATGGATCGCTAGTTGCTCCTCCTAGTGGTTCCCCTCGACTTGGTGAGTGGATTGATCTCGTGACAAATCGATCACTAGTGAATTGATGCCATGACAGATTGATTACTAGTTGCTCATTCCCGAGGTTCACTACCACCTACGCCTCACGACTTCATTCAATCCAACGAGTCTTGGTAGCTAGTTAGGGGGAAGCAATTCCTGGGTGAAGCTCCCTTAGTTAGAGTTTTCCTTTATTTACTTTTCCGTTTTTGTTTAGTTTGTAGTTTTTCATAGTTTGACAATGTAAATACTTGCTCTATACTGCACCCGACTAGAGTTTATAAACTTGGGCTCTAGTCGGGATTAATTTATGGTGTAGTTTCATACGAGTCAAGTTTTTGGCGCCGTTGTCGGGGACCTTACGATTCGTTATCCAGAAAATGTCGCTTAGTATTACTCTAGCATTTTCTATCTTGCCTTTTTATTTGTGTTTTTATGTTTTGTGTTGTGTTTTGTTTACCCACTCTTCGTCTTCAAGGGTGGTTTGTGTTTATTTGATTTTGTTTTTGTTTGTGTAGGTTATGAATCATGGATCCCAATGGCTTCTACAATAGGTGGGGGTATCCGCAACCACATGAATGGGGTACCCCGGAGCTTCATGGAATGAACAAGAAGGGGGAAGCCAAGGATCCGAGTTCTATTATTAACCCCCTTTCAAGAAGAACAACCATACCATTGGGGGTATGAAGAGGCTTCCCCATATCAAGAAGGCTTATGACACGCTTCTACCGTCACACTAGAAAGTGGCCAAGTGTAACCACCTACTAATGCGTAGTATAGCAGGTTTAGTTCTAATTGTCAACCCAGGTCCTAGGTGTGATGACTACTCCGTGAAAGTCTTGTTATCTAGCGGTTCAAGTGTAGTGAAGGTTCAATTAAACTAGCAAGCAAAGTAGTGAAGGTTGTGTTCAAGTTGAGAGAGGTCACCCGGATATGGTTCCCCTTAGACTGCAGTTAAGCCAGGTTGTAATTTACCAAGTTCAAGTTCAATGATAGTTATACTGCGGGAGGTTCTTAAATAGTCTGCAGTCTCGACTAAAGGTCTCCAGACCCTCTTAATCTGAGTCCCCAGCGGGCGACTAACCTCCACCGGAGTAAACAGATTGAGGCCGTAACGAACCAAACTTCCTCTACCAAAGTAAATCCGGTACAGAATAGTGAATTGACTCCTCGATTAAAGTCGTCAATTCACTACCTTCAATCAAGGGTGATCTATCAACCTAGGCATATATTCTCTTTCTAGGTCAAAGCAGAAATAACAGGAATTTGATCAGGATTCATGCCATCCAAAAAATCAAGCCTCAGTTGAATAAAATCATATCACTAAATTTGTACATGGGTTCATACAATCAGACCTAACATACAAATCTAGGGTTCTTCATACTCAGGTGAATGAGAAAGTTACCCATAGAGAGAGACGGGAAATCTAGCTCAGATGCGGAAACCATACTGTGAAGGATGGGATTCTGCTTCTCGAAATCAATCAGCACTTCTCCAAGCTCAAGCCGGGCTCCAATGGTGATGAAGATCGATCTAGGACACTTGGAGAATTAGGTTCGTCACTTTCTCTCTCTAGGTATACACTTTGTCTCTCTAAAACTCGGAACCCTTCAAAAATCAGCCTTCTTTCCCTTAAGAACCAGCAGGCCGCGATCCCCGGTCATAATACCTAGTCGGGTATTTCAGGTTCCTGGCCAAGTATTTTTAAACGTTGTGCAGTGGGGAAAAGGGAAATACCCGATCAAGGGTCAGAATACCCGATCAGGTATTTTAGCCATCCGGCCGGGACCCTTCCTGGATCTCTGGCGTCCAAAACGTGAAATCGCCGTCCTCTCTTTGCAGATTACCCATCCGGGTATTTTAACTCCTGGCCGGGTATTTTACTCTTCTAGCACCCTTCTACTCCAACGTCCTCCTTTTGACCCGAAACTCGTTTCCTCGCCTTCACGTTAACGTCAGGTCCTGAAATATGACATAAACACATAACCTAGCGTGGAATCTGCTTAAAACACGAGAATCGACTCTCAAACGGCTCAAGAATGGAGGTATAAACATGTGTAATTATTGGTCTATCAGTTTCCCTCCCCAACCCGAGGAGAAATCCAAGTTGGAGTTGGCAATGGAAGCTTTCATGGGACAATCATCGAGACCATGTGCCACTCCACAACCGGAGCCAAAGAGCAAATTAGAGCTCATGGTGGAGCGATTCGCCCGGGGCACCAATGAAGGGTGCTCTAGCAAGGACCTCCCAATCGCCAACCCTATCGACTCAACCTTTCTTCCGGAGGCGGAGGAGCTTCGTCGATGCACAGAGAGACTAGGAGGGCTTGTAGAGCAAACATGTGCACAACTTGCTCACAATCGCCTCCCACCATTGGAAGAAAGAGAGGAAGTCGAAGAGGCAAGCCATGAGGATTTTGGAAGAACGAGCCCAGACATGGATTTCCATCCCCTCCCTCCTCCCGGTTTGACACTAGAAGAGAAAGTGGCACGAGCTTGTGAAAGCTATTGCCTCTCATTATTGGAGGAGAAAGAGGAGGTTGAAAGAGCTCTCAATGACAACCGTGTGGAGCAAGAAGAACTCACCCCGGAGAGCTCCTGTGGTGAGGATGAACAAGAAGGTTACATTGAGGACTCCCATCTCTTTCCCCTTCGCGAAAGCAACTTTGAATACCAAGACACGAGTGAGGAGGAGCAAGAGAATCCCTTCTATGACCTTGTATTGCATCCTGCCCTTAAATTTGTGCTTGAAGACATGAATGGGAATGAGGCATAAGAGGTCAGAAGAGGTGGAAGAGGAGGAAGAAAACATTGAATAGGGGGAAGATCTCAAGTGTTCCCAAGGGGAGGAAATTGAAGAGGAAGGAAGGGAGGTTGAAGAAGCAGTAGATGGAGCAAGTGAGGTCCAAGATGAAGACGAGGTCGTGGTGGATGAAGCTTCAACAAGTTACAAGTGCAAACAAAGCTTTCCACCTGACCTCGATGCGCTTTTGGAGAAGGACCCATTTGCTACTCTTTGCCAAGCCAAGGCCGAACCATCGTTGATCCCTCTTAGTTGATGCGATGGAAACTAATCGAGTTTGCACTACATGGTATGGGGCAAAGAGAAGAAGGAAAGAAGAAGAGGTCTCATGGGTGGAGCCTCAACACCACTCAAGTTCACAGGCCCTCAATCATGGACTCGTCCAATGCTCGTGACTTGAGACATGAGGAGCAACCGTCCGGCTCATGACGTTAAAGAAACGCTTGGTAGGAGGCAACCCATCTACCATCGGTTTGTTTGCTTTCCGCTCCAATAAGAAGACCATTGAAGAGGTTTTTGTGGTGTTTTGGACGTGACAACGCTCTTCCGGACCTCAACCGCCCTCCACTCCCAATTACAAACTTTCACAACTTGACCGGTAACATCGTTCTATCCCCTTCTTTTATGCCATTGAGGGCAATGTCGAGCTTAAGTGTGTGTGTATGTGGGGGGGGGGGGGTAGTCCATTATGCATGTGTGTGTGAATGTTTGGTGTGGTTTTGAATGCTTGGAGCCTTGATGTATGCCCAAATTTGAAAAATTTGAGGGCTCCAAGCATAACAACTTCTACATTTGCATGATAATTGTGATTTGTTTTGAATCTCGTGGTTATTAGCATGGCCTATGGATGATTTGATTGTGATTGTGTGCATCCTATGATGACGACTGAGACTTGTATTAGGTGTGTGCATTGGTTCATTTCTCATGTCTTTGTGAAATGATAGATGTGTTGAAACGATTACTCGCTTTTCACAGTTGCCTATGCATCGAGTTTAGGGAGTGAGAGCGAATGATTGAGCACCTAGGTAGCCATGTAAGACTTTTGCCGTTCGTTTCGTTCTTGTGCGATAGTTCCCCCTTTACATTGTTTTTGTCCATAGGTCGGTGTCAAATAACCATTGTGATTCATTCGTTTTGTGCCCTATGATATGCCTCAAAAATTTGTGTTGAAAAAGAAGTTGTAAGCTTACCTTGTTTTATACTTGGTTTTCTTGGGGACAAGCAAACGTCCAAGTGTGGGGGAGTGATTCGGGCTCAAATGTACATATTTTACCCCTCATTTCTTATTCGTTTAGCTTAGTATTTCATCGTTACTCGACATATTTCACGCTAGGTTGTGCTTGTTTTGATACATTTCAGGTCCAAGCACATGTGAAAGGGTCGAGGTCGAATTTTGGGATAATTGGAGGTCAAAAAGCGCAAAAACTGAAGAAAAGTCCGAAGTGAAGGCATCCTAGTAAGGCATCCCTGGAAACAGCCGCAGTTCACGATCGGACAAGGCAGGGCATGGTCTTCTAAGACCGTGAAGAGGAGGCAAGGGCCGTGAACATCAAGGCGTCCAGGGCCAAATCCGAAGTTACTGACGCCAGGCGAGTTCAGGGTCTCTAAGATTGTGAACTGGGGCCATTGACCGTGAACCCAGGAGAGTGAAGCGGCACGTTTTGGACGACACTGAGTTCACAGACGCGTTTGGGTGTTCACGCCCGTGAACTGGCCAACGCGTCTGTGAACTGATCACTTTCGGGCAAATATGAAGACAACAGCGGGGAGAGAGAAATGAGAGCTGGTTTTTGGGGAGAAGAAACACTTTCTTTCACTAGGGTTTCAACCTAAACACCAAGGGGGAGTTCTAGTGAGAGAGAGAGAGAGAGAGAGAGAGAGAGAGAGAGAGAGAGAGCTAGAGTGATCTTGGAGCATCATTGGAGGCTTGGGTGGAAGATTCAAGCCTACAAGAAGAAGAAGATCTTGAGCTCAAATTTGTAATCCCTCTCTCTATAGAAACTCACTCTTTTCCCTTGGGTGTCCCTAACTAATACTTTGTAATTACTTGTTTAGATTGAAAGATTGTCATTGGGTAGTGTTTAATTCAAGGATTGAGGCATTATTCATGTCGATTGTGCGTGCTCGCGCTTAGCAATCTAAGGGTTGTACATGTTTGGTACTTACCATCCTTATGTTTGTGCATTGTGGTGCTTAGCAACCTAAGGATTGTGCATAATTGTGCTTACTGCTTAGCATCTTTAGGTTTGTGCATGTTGGTGCTAACAATCTAATTAGCCACTTTAACCTATGTTAATTTAGGGCAAACATCAATGTTGAATTAAGCAAATTGGTTAAGTGTGATTAAGCCGTCCAACCTTGAGTTGAGTGAGGGAGTAAGTCAACTACCAATTGTCTAAACTGAGAGGGTCGAGTGACACGGCCTTTCATGCTTACCTCGGTTTAGAAATTGAGATTGTGGTCTCCGACCACATATGCATCCCTCTGCGGTACGCGGTTACCAGTTTACATCTAGGTTGGTTGTGATTAAGCCGCTCAAACTCTGGTTTGAGGGAGAGACCTAGGCAAACACTAGAGCCTAAGTGAAAGGATCGATCTCGTGACAAATCAATCTCTAGCAAATTCATCTCGTGACAAATGGATCGCTAGTTGATCCTCCTAGCGGTTCCCCTAGACTTGGTGAGTGGATCGATCTCGTGATAAATCGATCGCTAGTGAATTGATGCCGTGACAGATTGATCACTAGTTGCTCACCCCCGAGGTTCATAACCAGCCATGCCTCACGACTTAATTCAATCGAACGAGTCTTGGTAGCTAGTTAGGGGGAATCAATTCCTGGGTGAAGCTCCCTTAGTTAGAGTTTTCCTTTATTTACTTTTTCTTGCTTGTTTGGTTTGTAGTTTTCTTAGTTTGAAAATCCAAAATCGTTTTGCTAGATAACAACCTAAGCGATTGAAGTAGGGGTACATGGATCGGCTCGGGCTGACAATTTAAATACTTGCTCTATACTGCACCCGACTAGAGTTTAAAAACTTGGGCTCTAGTCGGGATTAATTTATGGTGTAGTTTCATGCGAGTCACTGACTAAGTAGAGCGTAAAAGTCCACAATGATCCAAAACCAATCACGGTGAGATAGAACTTCCCATATTTCCTGGATACTTGGGGTGGGCATCCGGTTCAGGTTTTCATTTTCGAACCGACCCGAACCCGAACCGACCGAAAATGAGTTCAGTGCTATTCGGATAGGAATTCGGAAGGGTAAACCTGCTAATTCGGAATACAGGGTCTTGCCGACCGAACCGGAATTTCGAATTCCGAACCGAAACCCGAACATATAGATTCAGCCCACTCCCTTTGGCCCAAACCAATCCTCCTGGTCCCTTACATCCCACCCTAATAATCTCTGGACCCTCACAAACTAGCCCAATCCACATATGGGGCTTAATAAACACTCCCCACTTGCTAACCCTAACTCCCCTAGCCCACCCCCTGCTTTCTTCTCCCCCCCCCCCCCCCCCCCCCCCCCCCCCCCTGCGCAGCCACCACCCCCACTCCCCAACAGTCCTTCCACTTCTGCTTTCTCTGTCATTTCGACACAACACCCTCTCCTATCTCTCGTCCTCGCCGACTCTCATCTCTCGTCGCGCCTCTCCCATCTCCCGCCCTCGCCAACTCTCATCTCTCATCGTTGCATAATTTGTGTCGGCTGCTGCAACAAGTACACAGGCAAAGAAAAGTGGCCGGGGGCGGAGGAGTCCAGCCAGGCGGAGAGCGAAGGAGGACGAAGTCCAGTCGGCCGGAGACCGGTATGCTGCTGTTCGGTTTGCCCATTGGGAGTAATAGGGGTACCGGGGTATGCTGCTGTTCGGTTCGGGTTGAACCGAACCGATGCCCACCCCTACTGGATACCGAGTAACCTAGTCACTAATCACTATCCACAAATATCTTATCTATCCTCCTTGCAATAGGTTTGTTCTTCTATTTGTTAATATAGTAAAACAAGCCCTATCTATCGATGCTAAATCAACTGCACATCCTCTAGCTATTCTTAAAAATAATGGACACTTGAACCTGGAAGAGGGAATTGGATGCCTCTGTTGGGAAAGTTATTATTGCATTAAAAGTCAATAAGGAATATCCAAGCCAAGGCCTTCCTACTACTCTCTTCATCTGCACCATTTACCATTGTTACTAGACAAGATACCCTACCATTGCTAAATTTCCAAGAACTTCGAATCAAAAAATGATCCTTTAAAAATTGTGTCACATTAGTTTGATGCACCCTGGTTAATTTCAAGAATAGCTACCAAGTCTATATTATGTTACACAAGAGCTTACTAATATACTTGTTAAACCCCCTTATATCCCATGACTATCATAATTTTTTGGAGTTCGGCCTGCCACTCTTACCTATTTTCTTTTTTCGTAAAAGGGGCACTCCGAATAGTACAAGGACACTCCGAATCAATTCCAACTCCACGTAGCACTGCGCAAAACCTAGTTGCCCGCCAACCTTGGTTGTTGATTGCTCCATTCCATACATAATGGTTTTCCAATTGCATTGAAAATCCTGTTGAGACGTTAAGGCAGTAGGCATTCTATCGGTGAACAAAAAATCTTGAACCAATTTGGTAACCCAGGCTTCTCTGGAGTAACAAGTAGAATTTCTCTCTCCCATTTATAAAGAAAAATGTTGTTACCCCACAAATGCTAAGTTGCCCCTTGAAAAACCATGAGCAAGTAATCCGAATTTTTTTTTTGGGTAGGAAACAAGTAATCCGATTTTGATACTAAAAAAACAACATTTGTTCTCCAAACAAAGAAACCCTAATATCACCGTCTCTACCGCACAACCTATTCGCCCAAGAATCGGTCATATGAAGCATAAGAGGTTCAGATGTGAATTGACCATACTAGGCTTTTTTTGGTAGGTAATTTAGTAGCATCTACTTCTATACAAAAATAAAATTAAAAGAACTCTTATATTTTTAATGGTATAAAATTTAAAAATAATTATATGTTATTACTATTAATGGAAAATTCACTAATTTAATGACCAAACATTGAAAATGACTACAACAAAGTTAACAAAGTTGAATGAAGAATAACGAGTGATTCAACTAAAATGTAAAATTTTTAACCACTAACACAATAAAAATCTATGACATATTTGCAAACCATATGTATCATTTAGCTATTCTACCCTATTTTATAACGGGTAATTAGCATAAACGGTCACACAACTATTCACTTTTTATAAAAATAGTCACCAAACTTCAATTTAGCACGTTTCAGTGAAATATATTTAGACGAAAAGCAAATCAGTCATTCCGTCCAATTCCATCAAAAAATTCTTCAAATAGGTACAGTCGGCATGCCAAGCCAACAAATAGATGACTAAACAAATAACAAAACCAACTAGCAAACCATAATCGAACCAACTCAACCCCACCCGACTTGGACACTATACCTAATGAATCTCGAGCTGGGGAAAGACATATTGTCGTTTCCTTGGCTTTGTGGAGGAGGAGAGATTCAGCTCCCCTCTGCTCTTCGTCGTCGCCTACCCCCAATTGCAGCCTTCCAACTCCTCCATCGCAGCTCCTGCTAGAGTTTCTGATTAATCACTGAAGCTTGATTGATTGAGAGAAAAAACATAAAGGATTTTACAGATTAGCTTAGCTTATATAGTCTATCTATCTAACTAACTCTTCAACTACCTATGTACATTTACAATATGATCATCTATCTAAGTGCGAATTACATTCTAGTCCTACACTCTAATACCCCCCCCCCCCCCCCCCGCAAGCTAAGCATGTATTGATTTCATGTTTAGCTTGGAGATAAGATCTACAAAAGTGTGAACTGGTAAGGCCTTTGTAAATGGATCAGCAAGCTGTAATGTAGTGGAAACGTGTTGAACTTTGAGTTTATTGGCAAGCACTTGATCCCTTGTGAAGTGGCAGTCTACTTCGATGTGTTTTGTTCTTTCATGTTGAACTGGGTTCTCTGTCATCTTTACAGCTGATAGACTGTCGCAGTAGATGAAGTAAGGCTGCTGGGGTTGCACAGGGAGCTGCTGAAAAAGAGATGTCATCCACTGGAGTTCCTGTGAGGTGTCAGCAAGGGCTCGATATTCTGCTTCAGCTGATGAACGTGAGACTGTCTGCTGCTTCTTGGAACGCCAACTGATGAGTGAAGAACCTAAAAAAACACAAAAACCAGTTACTGATCTGCGAGTATCGGGGCATCCTGCCCAATCCGAATCAGAAAATACAGTTAGCTTGATGTTAGAGTTTGAAGGAAAGAAAAGGCCTTTGGCTGGATTAGTCTTTAAGTAGCGCAAAAGTCTATGAGTAGCTTGTTCATGAATGGTTCTTGGTGAATCAATGTATTGGCTCAACTGGTTGACAGTATAGCATATGTCAGGTCTAGTATTGCATAGATATTGTAAACGACCTATCAGTGTTCTGTAACTACTATGTGCAACAGAGTCAAGTAGTTCTCCATCATTGCTAGAGAGATGAGCGCCTGGAACAGAGGGTGTAGTTGCTGGTTTAGAAGCAAGATAACCAGTATCAGATAAGAGGTCCAGTGCATACTTCCTTTGGCAAAGATTGATCCCAGAATCAGATCTGGATACTTCCATGCCAAGGAAGTATTTGAGATTCCCAAGATCCTTAATTGTAAACTTGTCATCTAAGAACTGTTTGACCTTTTGAATTTCAGAGAAACAATTTCCAGTTAGTATAATGTCATCTACATATACAAGTAGAGCAGTAAAATTATTGTTTTCATGTTTAGTAAAAAGGGAGTAATCAGAATTTGACTTTTTATACCCTAGTTCTTCTAGTGTAGCAGACAATTTTGCAAACCATTGGCGACTTGCCTGCTTTAGTCCATAAAGGGACTTAGTGGGTTTGCAAACCTTATTTTTGTCAGCATCACTAACCTGGAGACCAGGGGGTAAAGCCATATATACTTCCTCATTTAAATCACCATGAAGAAAGGATGTATTGACATCTAACTGTTCTAGGTACCAGTTATTAATAGATGCTAATGCTAAAAGGACCCTAACTGTAGTCATTTTGACAACAGGGGGGAAGGTGTCTAGATAGTCAACACCAGGGGTCTGAGTGTATCCCTTAGCCACTAGACGAGCATTAAACTTGTCAATGCTACCATCTGAAAGAAATTTGATTCGGAAAACCCATTTATTACCAATGATAGGTTTGTTAATGGGAGGATCAACTAGCACCCAAGTTTTAGTTTTTAAGAGGGAAGCTAGTTCTGACTGAACAGCCTTGAGCCATTCTTCATACTGAGCAGCTTCTTTGTATGTACGTGGTTCTCTAAGAAGACCAATAGCAAGTGCAAACTTTTTATGATTAGGACTAAGTTTGCTGTAGGTTAGAATGTCCTGGATAGGATGTGTAACACTTAAATCAGTGTTAGTTGTAGATCCAATCAGATTACATTTGTAATCTTTTAATCTGGCAGGTTGGACTCTTTGTCTAGAAGACTTCCTTAATGGAGGAGGAGGAGGAATAGTAGCAGGAGTAGGAAAAGCTACTGCTGGATCTGTTGTTGACACAGGAAGAGGTTCAGGGACATCTGGAATAGTGTCAACTGGGATTGAAGTAGTAGGAGTGGAAGAAACCAGTGGAGGTAAGGATTCTGGAAAAACAGGAAAAGGAACTGGAGTATGAATTTGGTGAATGTCCTTATAGAATGGAAAGATGTCCTCATGAAACACGACATCCCTTGAAATGAAAATTGCATGAGTGGTCAGATTGTACAATCTGTAACCTTTAGTACCAGTAGGAAAGCCCAAAAACACACTAGGTGTAGCTCTAGGATCTAGTTTAGTTCTAAGGGCTTGAATGGTAGATGCATAGGTGAGGCACCCAAATACCCTGAGGTAACTTAGATCAGCCTTGTGACTATAGGTGTCAAAACATAGTCCGACCCGATTAACCCGTCCGATTAACCCGACCCGCAACCCGACCGCAACCCGAATTGACTAAAAGTCAACAACCCCGTAACCCGCCCGACCCGCAACCCGATTGACCCGCAACCCAACTAACCCGCAATCCGACTAACCCGCAAACCGATTAACCCGAACCCGATTGACCTGCAACCCGACTGACCCGCAACCCGATTAACCCGAACCCGATTGACCCGAACCCGACTAACCCGTAACCCGACCGAATCAACCCGAATTTCATCTAATCCACTTGAATAATTATAAAAATATACAATACATAGTTTTTCAAAATAAAGTTTTTCATTCTAAGCTTAAGTAAAATTATTTTTTCATTTCGTATAAGAAATTTTAAAAATATGAAACTCACTTGATATTATGTATTTTAAGAAAATTACCAAAATTGAAACATGAAGGTCACTTGAGATCATGACAATATTAATATAATATATAAATTAAAATTTTGGTTAATTTAACTATACAATAAAATTATCAATTAAATATAAATAAAGTAAAGTAATGTATTTGGTAATTTGATGTTTTTCAAAGAAGAGGAAAATTTTGGTGTATTCAAGTTTTTGAGAAGAGAAAGAAGAGAGAAATTTGGTTCTTTGAATTTTTTAGAAAAGAAACAAGTGGAAATTTTGGTGGTTTTGATATGTGGGAAGAGAAAGAAGTGGGAAAGTTTGATTCTTTTGATTATGAAAGAGAAATAAGGAGGGAAACTTTTGACTTTTCAACTTTTTGTAGAAGGAAAGAAGAGGGTAATTTGGTTCTTTCAATTTTATGGAAGAGAAAGAGGAGGGAAAATTGAGTTTTTCTAATGTATGGAAGGAAAAAGAAGAGAAAATTTTAGTATTTTTGTGAAAAGAAAGAAGGAAACAAATTCGGTGTTTTCAATTTTTTGGTTTTTCATAATTTTAGCTTTTGAAATATGAATCTTTAACTTTTATATGGAGGGCATGACTAGTTAAAATTATTATTATATGCTTTGAAGGCTAATATGTATATATGTATGTAATTTTTATGGGCTAATAAATAAATTAACCATCAGTTACAACAATTTATACTAAACTTGATAAGTATCTTTGACGGTTCGTTGTTTAGGATATAAAGTATATGGTTAGGGTATAAGGTATAAGGTACATATGGTTTAGGGTGTATATGGTTAGGGTATAAGATATTGATGGTTTTGATGGTTCTAAGTTTTTTATTAACATATGTTCACTTGAAGTCCTTAACGGCAGGAGATCCCTTTTAAATTTATGTTTATAGTACGTGGTTAGGGTACAAGGTATGTAGTGTAAAGTACATGATATATGGTTAGGGTATAACAATTAGCAAATATCACTTTTTATCTATGTTTTGAAAATCAAAGTATGAATTTCACTTTTAAATTAACTATACTAACAAAATCACAAATCAAGGACATATGGTTAGGGTATAGGTTATGTGGTTAGTGTATAATGTATTGATGGTTTAGGGTATACAATCAACAACCTATACTAACTTAATATTGTTGATTGAAGGTAAAGCTAAGTGTACAGGATATATGCTATTGAGTAAGTTATGATTGAAGTCACAATAATTTTACTAAATTTGATAGCTAATCTTTAATGGTTCAATTTTTAGGATAATTCGAACAATTTTACAAATAACTCGTTTGGCAACAGTTTACTAAAGTTATTTGGGCATTGAGTTATTTTGAAATAACTCCTTTTATCACTATGCTTTTGCCAAATACCACACGCCAAATACCAGATTTGCATGGTTATACTAAATGAGATACTTTAATCCAATTACTACTGAATTAATACTAAAATATCAAATAAACAATTAACGGTGTATTTTGGTTGCAAATATTGATATCACCATTACTATTAGCTATAATAATTTACCAATTATGATTAATTACATAACAAGTTTGCAAGTCATACAAATTGATTTAACATTTTGACTAGTTTTTTTCAAAAAAATAAAGTATATATATACGAGGTAGATATAAATTGGTTAAAAAGTTGAGAAAATATTTTAAATTAGTGTAATAAAATGTGTAAGTTGGTAATGAGTAATGAGTTAAGTTACTTGATGCGCTGGCCTGAACAACCCGAAACCCGACCCGCCCGACCCAAAACCCGATGAACCCGCAACCCGATTTGCCCGCAACCCGATTGAACCCGAACCCGATGAACCCGCAACCCGACTAACCCGCAACCCGTTTGAACCCGCAACCCGTTTGAACCCGAACCCGATGAACCCGCAACCCGACTAACCCGCAACCCGTTTGAACCCGAACCCGATTGAACCCCGCCCGAACCCGCCCGATTGACACCTATACTTGTGACCATATAATTTTTCATAAGGAGTGGAATTGTGGAGAAGTGGAGTAGGGGTTCTGTTTATAAGATGAACAACATGCATAGCAGCAAAATGCCAGAAATGAGTAGGTAAGGATGCTTGAAAAAGAAGAGATCTGGTGACTGCTAATATATGTTGATGCTTTCTCTCAACAATACCATTCTGTTGAGATGTATATACACAGGTGGTTTGATGAACTACTCCTTTTGATTTGTAAAAATCTGGTATTTGGAATTCCAGGCCATTGTCTGTTCTTACTGTTCTGATTTTAGCATTGAACTGGGTGGAAACATACTCAAAGAATGTGAAAATGATGTTTCTAACTTCTGATTTATGTTTCTAGCATTGAACCGAGAACACTTGCTACCATCATCCCTCACCCTTTGTCTGGCTTCTCTTCTCGTCCGACGAAAACCCCAAGATTCGACGGCGGCGATGCATGCTTGTCCCGGTGGATTAGATTCATTCTCTGCTCCGACTGAGCAACAATGGACGAGTGGTGGCTGCATGCGGCTGGAGGAGATGGCGAATCGAATCCCCTGTCAACGAGATATGGGAGGTCGTAGTACACCCACAATTACTAAATCTTCCTCGTATTGCGCGAGCTTTCTGTTAACGGCAAGGTGGCCAACGACGACGCACGTGAATCGTTGACAGTAGGCACTGCTTCTTCTTGTTTGTTTTGTCCCAGTAGCGCTACTTTAGGTCACACCATGATGGATTCTTCCTAGCGCACTTTCTTCTCATAAATCCCGACATTCGCAGGTCGACAATAAATCAATGGAGGAGTTTCACCCTTATCACAGCGCAAGGCCACTTCATGGCAGGGGTATGGTGTTCGGGTCAGGTGGGTTTGAGTGTGGTTCGGTTGGGTTTAGTTGGTTGATTTTTTGGATTGTTTATTAACATCTTTGTTATTGTGGCATGCTGATTGTGTCAGTGCTGACAGTGGACGGATTGTTGGACGAAAATAGATAGAATTACCTTTTTGTTATTCGTCCAAACGTATTTCACTGAAATGTGCAAAATTAAATTTTAGTGACCGTTTTGTACTAAGTGTTAAGTTTTGTGACCGTTTATGATAGTTATGATAATTACCCATAACACACCAAGAATCTACTTAAGGGATTCGAATATGTGACCTGCATAGTGGTATTACCACTAGACCAAACTCTTGTTCGTAGAATCCACCTTATTAAGCGTGACCGAGTCGCCTACATTTCTAAAATTTTGGATTTTTTCCTAAAATAACACGGTTTATTTTTGTTTTCCAAAAATAACACCAAATCCCAAATTCCAAAAATAGCACGCTTTATCAAAAACAGTTGGGTCGGGGCGCAATTTGACCAAAACCGCTTGGGTAGGGGCGGTTTTGTTGACCGTAGTCCCACCCAGTGGTTTGGTTCAAAAAGATGCCCAACCTAGCGGTTTTGGGCCTAATTGTTTCCCGATTATTCCTAACCTAGGTGGAAACTTCAAATGAACGTATCTTTATGCTCGGTATCCGAAAGAGATTTTTTTTATTCCGCATAATTTTTCGAGATCTTTCAATCCACAAATTGCCGTAGGCAGATTGGTCCCGCCTTCGTCGCGAAAAAACATCGTTTGCTACACCGAACGAGTTTTTTTTCGATTTTGTCAAACTTTGGACATGCATAACTTTGTGCTCCAAAATCCGAACGTCATGAAAAAAATCTAGAAAAGTTATGCGAAATAAAATAATTTTATGCGGAATAATTTTTTTTTGCTACGTTCAGATACCCGAGCACAATGATACACTCATTTGAAGTTTCCACCTAGGTTAGGTATAATTGGAAAAAAAACTAGGAGCAAAACCGCTGGGTTGGACACCGGTTTTGAACCAAACCCCTGAGTGGGGCTGCGATCAACAAAACCGTCGCCTACCCAAGCGATTTTGGTGAAAACCGCACCCTTACCCAACGATTTTCGTGTAAACCACTGGATGGTTTGGCGGTTTTCCAAGAAAGAGTGTTATTTTTGAAATTTTTTGGGATTGGGTGATATATATATATATATATATATGGTTCAGGCTAGCGTACACCTGGTGTACGGTGTACATCTGTGTTCACACCTATAAATAAATTAATAATTAATTTCATTTAATTATAATCAATTTAATTATTAATAATAAATATAATTACAATTATACCCATTCATTAATTGTTGTATATGTTTTAGTCCCATATCAATATTTATTTTATATTTCGCTCAAATCAATCATTTAACTACTACTTATATAAATTATCCTTTTCTCCAAATCATAAATTTAGAACACCTTAACTTTAAACTTATCTACAACTTCGTTTGCTCATGCCTTTTCAATTTGCAGAATAATAACTTTTCACTTTTAGTTTGCTCATGCGATTAGAATTTACAACACAACTAATTCACAAAAAAAAAAAACTTTTTACAACCCAATCTCATCTGCCGTTTTATCTTTATTCATCTCATCTACTTCGTCTTCTTCATCAGAGGAGAGAAAGTGCTATATCCTTCCCAATCCTCTGTTCATTTATCTCCGCCGATTCAGATCAGCTCACCATCGACTTAGATCCCCATTCGCCTCATCCCCTTCGCCAAAACTCGAGTGGCTATTGAATCTCCACCTTCAGCCATCGATTTCATCGAAATAGTAGAGGGAATACCCAATCCACCTGTGGCTTTAGTTCCTAGACACGACCCCTGTACTGAAATTGAGACATGCAATTACATAGAATATGGGATTTGGGTTTCTGGGTTTAGAAAATCTACAGCCATTACGAAGCTTCCCAAATACAATTCTCTTGCCTTAGATTTTTGTTTCGGGGTTCATACTTTCATAGAGACGGCGCTTCATCTACCGCAACCAGAATTCCATTTATGAATTGTAACAATATAAGAAAGGAGACAGGAAAAAGAAGGATTAGCGGAAGGAGAAAAATAAGGGGAATCAAAAGAAATGTTAGGGATTTTGCTTGAGAGGCGCTTCATCTACCGCACCAAAGACGATCGAAGATCACGAAATCCCTTCAGGACCCGATAGCAGCTGGACAGAATTGGCGATCGAGATCACTCTAGACGACTGAGGTCTTCAAGACAAGGTCTAGCCAGTACAGCTCACATTTACGAACTATAGAGACAGGCGGATTGGGGATTCCTTGTTCCTATTTCGACAAAATCGATGGCTGAAGGCGGGGATCCCAGCTCCCGATTGACCAGCTACGCTCATGTTTTGGCGAAGGGGATTTGGCGATTGGCGATTGGAGAATGGGGATCTAAAGTCTATGGCGGCTGATCTGAATCAGGGGAGAATGGGAGTTAAAGGAACAGAGGATTTACAAGTAAAAACCTCTTTCCTACCTCTGCTGAAAAAGATGAAGGAGATAAAATGAATGAAGACAGATGACGACAAACGGTGTTGTAAATTGTAGTCGTAGGGACAGTGGTTGTAGTTGTAGATAAATTTTAATTTTAGGTGTTATAAATTAATGATTTGGAGAAAAGAGCACTATGATTCATATAATTACGAGTTCAAAGATTGATTTAAGCGTAATGTACAATAAAAATTTATATGAGACTAAAACGTATACAGGAAATAACGAGTGAGTATGATTGTAATTATATTTATTATTAATAATTAAATTGATTGTAACTAAATTAAAATAATAAATAATTAATTTATAAGTGTGAACACAAGTGTACATCGTACACTAGGTGTACGCTAGCCTTTGCCATATATATATATATATATATATATATATATATATTAAACAGTTTTATTTCCGGAAAAAATCCTAAAATTCCACCAGCTTATTGCCAATTTGCCATTGACGATTGATACCTCTTTTCTCATTATTATTATTATAGCTGACATAATTTTACAAGGTTTAACAACGCACTTGATCAAACCAAGTTTGCAAAGCGAGAGCAAATAAATATTACACCAAGCAAGGCCCCAAGGAATAGATAGATATATGCATGCATGAGTCACAACCTTAGCCACTCGAAGCAAGGGCACAGTCCCCAGCAGAACCTAGACGGATAGTAGTCCTTCAGGTAAACATCCTTGCTAAACCCGATTATGTAGAAGCTGAAAGAACCCCCGCCACCACGATGATGAGCCATGGTGACCCTGGTCACTGGCACCACCGATATGGTATGCCTCTCACAGATGACCCTTGCTGAGGGAGGCACTGCAGCCCTCTCCGCGATGACTTCCGATGAGAACTTGTTGAGGAAGAACGAGTCTGCGAAATATGCAGGTGTGCACTGATGTGCTTGGGTGTTGCACAACTGAACGCCTTTGGCTTGGTGGAATACCTCCTCCGGTACTGATGCTGCACCGCTAGTTGCACCTACTTTGCGTGTCGAAAGTGTCTTCCTGCGCACATCAGTGCAGTAATTTGGTTTCTGTTATGTTAAGCTCATTATATCATCAAAATAGTACAATCTCAAACTGAAAAGGAAATGAATTACATGGGCAGTCAAAATGCAAAAGACGTATCAGCAGCACATCATATATTTGTTAAGTTGCATACTACTACAAATTTGCCCATTTCAAATACAACCAACCATACCGACATGTAGGTATTTGATTGTAGCACGTTTTGTAAGTATTATGCTACTTTGACAAACCCCTAAAACCTGATAACTCACTTCCACTTGGGACCTGCAGATTCGAGAGAGTAAAATACACTGATAGAGCGCCTCTGTTAGGCATATAGCTAATTTTCACACCATAAGGAGACTTGGTCATAAAAAGCCACAGAGAAGGAAAGCATAAAGCAGTGAATAGCACCATGGAAAGAGGAGTTCCAGTTCAAAACAAAGGAGGAGATATTGAGTGAGGAGAAAACTGTCATTTGTAGAATGAATATTTACATACCATCGTACAATTGCCACATTGCGCGTCAAGAGGTATCCACTTCCACTACATTTCTTGCATTTTATTAGTCCACGAGATGCACAAGTTGCACAAGGAAGCTTCCCCTTTCCCTTACAGTTTTGGCATCTACATTGAAACCAAGTGGACAATCAAGGGACGATCTAAGTTTTGTAACAAACAGTAGACCATGGGAATAAACATGTTAAATGGGAACTCAGGATACAAAAAGCTACTTACATTGTGTCAGATCCATCTCGATGAGCAATCAAACCCCTTCCATAGCACACAGGGCAATCAAACATCTGATTCTCCTTATGAGATCCGTGTTCTTGACTTGGATTGCATGTGGGACAAACAGTATCTCCCCTACCACCACAATCTGCAAATAATTTATGTAAAAGACTTTCGAAAGGCATTGGATTGAACTTGAAGGCAAGACAGAATTTTTTTTAAATTAGGGAAGTCATAACAGGACATCAAAGCAGAGCCTTGAAGTTAGTTACTGGGGATCTACACTTACCCCCGCACTTGTCAATTATCTCAGAACCCGGAATTTGGACTTGAGTTTCTTTGTAAGGCACAAAAAGAGTAGGAAATTGAGACCTCAAATCCAGTTCCCAAACCCCAAGTTGGGGGCCACGGCCTTTCCCATCAGTATTACCACCAGGATATGGTTCTGTTTCACTTATAATTTCCCTCTCTTCTATGAATGTCTCCAGAGTTCCCACATGCACATTGCAGTCTTCCACTGCATGAATTTTCCAGCTTCTTGCCGGACGACTTCCCCAGCAACATCGATGACCAACATGGTCAATCAGCAACTCTCTTATCTCGATTTCATCCAATATTTGCCTGCACACAGACATCCATCTTCAACTTGTAACGAATTTAGACTTGCTGGTTTGACTCAGCATGTTAAGGTTGGAATAGAGTAATCATGTATAGTATATTCTCTTTAGCATACGGAAGTAATTACTAATTAGGCAAGTCTAGTCCCTTGCATATGCGAAGACCTGTCATCAGCTTTTCACTAACCGCAGGTAAAGAAGCGAAGGTTTCTGATTGTGAAGAATCTGACTAATTTTATTCAATGACTAGTTTAACAACACAACTCCAAGTGGATCTTGACGTCATCTATCATATATAGAAGAGCTGCGAAACATAAAGTAATTTTGACTTCCTTTTACGTTCAAATTCTCTTTCCCCGTGACTTGAATCATAAGAAAATCCTTAGCAGATTCAGCAGAAGACAGTTCAAGACAAAAAGAATAGAATTCAGATAGAGAGAAAGCTGCAGCAAAAACAAGTAAGACAGGAGCGAGTTGTGCCACTCAATTCTCAACGCACAGCCCCGAGAATAGAAACAACAAAAGAACAGAAGATTCAGCAAACCTCTGATGTTCATTGGCATTTCCACCGTACTGCTGGCTGTACCCTCCTTGATAAATAACGGCTTGCGCTGCGAAACAAGTGATCATCCACAACTCAGTATTGCAATCGCCTCGCCAAATTGTGAAGGAAACCCATTTCGAAAAACGTAATCTTTCAGCTCGAAGTTACATACCAGCGTTGGGATCAGGTTCGGGTGGACTGATCAGCGGAGCATGAATCGACGGCGGGTAGATATTAGAAGAAGCCGCAGCCGATCGAATTTCTGCAACGCTGACTTCGGAACCCACCAATGAACCGGTGGGAATTACCGCCCCAGTTCTGCCCAGATACTGATACGAGCTCCATCCACCGCTTTCCTTGTCCCCAATTTCACTAGGTTTTCCTGCACAACTCAACACGTCACGCCGGATTATCAACCGAAAATCGATTGTAGTTTAAAGCGGTAGACCAAATTGGAGCAAATCAGCTGGTTTACCTGAGAGCAAAGGCTGCTCCATTGTTGCTTCTGTTACAGTGATTAAGACTTGATTTTGGAGACGAACTTTAAATATAACTTGGATTTTTTTTTTCCTTAGCGAGTAAGGGAGAAAGAAGAAGTCTTCGGTCTTGACGATGATGGATACGGGTTCTCTAAGCCGGATCAGGGACCCGTTGATTCGCGAGTGACGGTGCGAACTGTAAGCAGTGGCTTCCATGTCCACGAAGCATATAGGCTGCTTACTTTTATAGTGTTTGTGGGCCGACATCCTGTCTGTCGTGGAGAATACACTATTGGGCCTAACCCAACCTGGGCCTTTTGCAAGTCCATTACCCTGTTAACCAGGTTAACCTAGATATATAAACAGCAGCAGCTAGGGTTTACGGCGATACCGTCCACAGCAGAAGAAAGAAGGGAAGACCGGAGGCAGAGGGAGCTTCAATCTACAGGCGAAAATGGTGAAGGGGCGTCAGGGCGAGCGTGTCAGGTACAGAAATCATTAAAGCCATCTCTTTTAATCATCTTTTCTGTGGAGCAATATCATTCATTCTACTGTAAATCTACATTCAGCAGTTCTTTTTCCTCATTTGGATTGTGTTTATGTTTTCTTCTATCGCAGGCTCTATGTTCGAGGAACGGTTCTCGGATACAAGAGGTAACGAAATGGTTCATTCATCTCCTTCATCCTAGCACGGTGTTCTGAGACTTGCGATCTACTGTACTGGTTTGTAAAATTTTGTTGGGTGGGCAATTTCAGGTCGAAGTCGAACCAGTACCCAAGCACTTCTCTGATTCAGATCGAGGGAGTGAACACTAAGGAAGAGGTGACCTGGTACCAGGGCAAGCGCTTGGCGTATGTCTACAAGGCTAAGGTCAAGACCAACGGGAGCCACTACCGTTGCATTTGGGGCAAAGTCAGTAGGCCTCACGGTAACAGTGGCGTTGTCCGTGCTAAGTTCAAGTCTAACCTGCCTCCCAAGTCCATGGTCAGCTGCCTAATTATCTGCTTCCCTTTGCCCTATGTGTTCTGGTTTTGATTCATGAAACTAAGTGTGTGCTTGTTGAACTTTACAGGGTGATAAAGTCAGGGTCTTCATGTATCCAAGCAACATCTAAGCATCGAAGGTAGATAATCTTGTTCTCGTTAACCTTTCGGTTCAATATTCTGGCAGTTGTCTGGGAACTGTTTCTCTGTAATGTAACCTTTTGAGCTGAGTTGATTAGGTTTTTGTATAGATTGATAGCAAAAGCTGGTTTTGAATTGATTAGAGGGATTGGTGAGTTGAGTGGGGAGTTGGGTTGGTGTTCTAGGTTTGAAATAATGAAAGACGGTATTAGTATTGCATTACACTCTGGGATTGTGATGTGTTTGCTCTGGGTGATTGGACTGCATGAACGAATGCATATTGTGCTTGGTTATGGAAGACAGTATTGATTCCATTTGCTATCCCTCCCAATGTGTTACAATCATCAAGGTGATCATGGGATTTGAAATGAATTCAGTGACGTTAATATTATCTGCAATATTTAACTACAGGCAGACTCAATTACCTACCTCAAATGCACTCCTAAATATGTGGTTATTGTTCTCTACTGAATATACTCCCTTTGTGCAAAGGTCTATCGTTTTCTTCTGGGTCTCTAACACTCTTAACTCAAAGTTGTGGCTGTTGGTGGAAGCTGGTTGTATTAGGATTTAAGAAGAAACTGATTCCTTGTTCAACTTATGATTTATGTTTTTTGATTCTGAGTTTTGTTGTATGCCTTCTTCTAGTAGGTTATTGTACTCTGGCCTCTAAACTGTAGATCTCTCATTCTTGCAGTGCTCGTGCAGGTTGTGCGTCGCTGAAGCTGTTTAATATGGAATTCATCTTTGCACCGAGCTGAGTTCTATAGGTTTTGGATGTAGAAGTACTGGTTACGGTTATTTACGTATTTTCAGTGAGAGTATGGACTGATGTTGGTACCTTAGTGTTACAGTTGATCAGATTTTGTGTCTGGCATCTCTAGATTGTGTGCTCTGCTATCCAACTTTACGACTTCTCCAGTGCTATCTAGTTTTGTTCTCGTGGAATCAAAATTAAACCAGTATTGGACTTGGAGTAAGCTATTGCACCCAGCTCAGAATTGAACCGATTTTGTCTGTTTGAATCTATTTTTGGTGTAGTAGTTGACCCAGAAAAATAATCAGACTATTCGTCGGCTGGTCATGTACACATGATATGGAAAAAAAAATCCTCTTCCACGCGTTTGATTCCGCATGAACTGACACTTCTACTTTTCTAGTTCTTTTATTATAAACCCTATAAGCTTGACCTTTAGTTGAGTAACCAAGAAAAGTAGCAGGATCAGATTTGGCATCAAACTTGCCGAGAGAATCTCGAGTGTTCAGCGTGTAACAAGGACATCCAAAGGGGTGAAAGTAAGATATCTTTGGAGTTCTACCCTTTAGTATTTCATAAGGGTTTTTGTTCAATTGTTTTCTAATCAGAGCAACCACAGGACAAAATTCGACATACTCATCCCATAATCCCTTTATCTCTGTGTAATACTAATTAGTTGACTTGGTTCCCTGTTTACAAGCCAAAATCTCATCCTCCAGGTTAGCAATTCTCATTGCATTTGGCTGCCCAAAACACAGTTTTTGGTCAAACCGAAATTGACCGATCTCCAACCCTAATTGCATACATAAAAGAACCTCCTACCAAAACCTAAACTGATAGGCTATTTTTAATGGTATGAAACGGTTGAACCATGATTTCAACACAAAATATCCTATTGGATACGAAGAAGAGTGCGGGATATTTGCGGTCAATTTCATGTGGAGTGTATGCCTCTTCCCATTCTGGTGACGATTCCTCCTTTTCTCAGTCCGATCGGAAGTCGTTTTCGTACCTCTTTGTCTTTGCTTCTCTCCCGCCGACGAGCAGATCTGGTCGAGGAAGTGTGAAGGAGATTGGATCAGGAGATCCATCCACTGTCTTTGCAATTTCCACCCTTTTTGTCGTCGCGATTCTGGGATCGGTGGATTCATTGTACTTTCTGATTTTTGTCAGGCCATGATAAAATCTAAAAAAATTAAGAACGAACAACACGATTTGGGATAGGAACCACTGTTCCTGTATTCCTAGAAAATGTTGGTAAACATGGACTCAACTGGCGAACTGGTTTGGATTGAGATTTTTATCGGATGTCAGGGAACAATATGATTATAAATTAGGCTTGATCAAAATGGGTTAAAACTTGAAATTCAGCCTGTTTGATCGACCCCTTGCCAAACATGAATTATTCTTTATTTTCAAACTTTCTATTTGAAAATAAAGGGCTTAATTGCAAGTTTGGTCACTCGAATTGCTACAAAATTTCACGTTTGCCACTCAAATTAATTTATTCCATTTATAGTCACTTAAATTAGGTTAACAGTCCAAGTTTGGTCACTGGCCGTTAGTCTCCGTTAACTTTTGTTGATGTGGCTAAATGCATGACGTGGCAATTAAAAAATTAAAAAAATAATTTAAATTAATTATTTTTATTTTCCATCTAATTATTATAAAAATAAAAAAATCCTAATTCCTTTTAATTATTATTTTCCACCGACCGTCGCCGTTCCTCTCCTCTTAGGTATACGATTTCGAAATGAAACTACTGCATCGATCTCACTATTTAGGTTAGGTCACCAAGAACAAGTTGAAGGAGCCAGCCGCTTTAGACTGGCATCCAACAAGAATCGTCCAAAAAGAATGGTCCAAAACGCATTGCCAATTAAAGAAAGAAGAGCTGCTCCTGCGCGTGCCTGCAGTTTCTTCTTCTTCTTCTTGCCTTTTCACGAGAACGGTCAGATTAACTAATACTATATTACCAGTCCATTACGGAGAAATGAGAATGCAATGCAGAGCATGGAGGAAGATATGGTGTAGATGCTGCAGATCGCGCTGGCTTCCGTGGCGAAGGCTCCCGAGATGCGGCCCGCCATGGATGAAGTGGTGAGGTTGATTGAGGAAATTGTTCGACCCAATGGCGCCGCCGTTGAGAGGAAGAGTGAGAGCGAAAACACCAACGGCGATGACAACAATAGGAGGTCGTCTTCCGAGGTTGAGAGGAAGCCTCCGTCCAATGTGTCGACGCCGTCGATTGAGTGATCTTCGAAGGAAGGAAATGTGTAGTTGTATGATTTTGGATTTCTTATTGTATGATCAATGTTTGGCGAGAGGTGGAAAATTCCCGATTTCTTCTGTTCATTATTACTAAGCTCCGAACTCCCCCCAAATCGAGGTTTTCTTCCTCTGTTTCTTCCCCCGAAATGAAGCATGTGATTATTCCTTCAATTAAGAAGCCATCATCGGAGCCTCCGACTCGACGGCCGCCACCGCCGCATGAGAGTGGAGCTCAGCCCAACGAGTAGCCAAGTTGGTATCACTCCAAAAACCGAAATTCTCGGGGCCACTACCGCCGCCGAATATGGCACTCCTTCGATCGTTAAACAACTACGCGCCCAACGAAGCCACCGCTCCACCACCTCCTCCTCCGCCACCACCTACTTCTCCTCCACCACGCGGGGCTTTGCCGGCCGGGAGAGGTCGTCGACCTGAGGGGAGAGGAACGGCTACGGGCGGTGGAAAATAACAATTAAAAGGAATTAGGTTTTATTTTTATTTTTATAATAATTAGGTGGAAAATAAAAAATAATTAAATTAAATTATTTTATTAATTTTTTAATCGCCACGTCACTCATTTAACGGTCAACTATAAGAGTTGACCGCCACATCAGCAAAAGTTAACGGAGACTAACGGCCAGTGACCAAACTTGGACTGTTAACCTAATTTAAGTGACTATAAATGGAATAAATTAATTTGAGTGGCAAACGTGAAATTTTGTAGCAATTCGAGTGACCAAATTTGCAATTAAGCCGAAAATAAAGAATATTGAAAGAAAAGAGAAGACTACAATTCGCCATTTGCACATCACTGCTTTGGGAACAAAATCAGAGAATTGCGAAAGGAAACTGAAAATGTTTAGGATCATTTTAATGTTAAAAATAATCAAATGAATCTTTCTGTTTAGTTTTTTTTACTAACAAATACCAAACGATTCCCTATATAAAATACACTATAATTTAATCATTATGATATTGAATAATTACATAAAATATATTTGAAATGATAAACATTGGACTAATTGGGTTGGTCAAGGTTGAACAATTTAATAACTTTAAAATACATAATATTTTAGCCACTAAGATATAAAATAATAGCATAATATATGTTTCAAATTAGAAAAACTAGGCTAATCGAGTTGGATCCTAGGTTAACCATTTAACCCTTTCCGTGAGTTGATAAATGGATTGTTCCATCAGAATTAATAACTTTGACGACAAGATGAAAGTTTTATAAAGAAAATTAATCAACTAACGGGCCGAGTAAAGGCTAACAATGATTGTGAAATGCTCATTTCCCGAAGACCGGAGTGATAGGCGATTTTTTATTCGGTTTTCTAGAATTCGGTTTCTATAAACTCACTCCACCTCATCATATTACCAGAAATAATATTGTTTCATAAAGTAATAGGTACTCGAACTTGGTTCATAAGGCTGATTTTTGATTCGTTACATCATCCATACTTCTTTCTTGTTAAAATTCAATATATTTATCACGTGTTTTCTAAAAAAACTATATAACAATAAAATAGACACCTCATTATATTCTCAAATTTCATATCTCACCTCCTCCGAGTTTCACACTAGTATACTTATAGGATAATCTTTATTTTCGCTTGTGAATTTGGCGGTCACAGTAGGCTCTGCGAGCCAATAATGGACCTTACTACATTTGGTTCGGCCGACTGAAGAACACTTTTAGTTAGAACACTTCAGTTTTCTTGCTCTATTAGATGGAATATTTGTATGAGTTTTTTTTATTACTCAGGAACCTCAATCTCACATGCCACTTTGTGGCAGCGTTGTCTACTAAACCTAGGGAGTACCTGCATCAGCAACATTTCAAGGCCTAGCATCCGATACTAGGAGGAGACTTCGTCTCCAGCACTCGCAGTGCCTCCGAGAACATCAAGTGGTGTAGCGGGGTTTGAACCTGAGACCTCACACTTCTCAAGCCCGAAAGACCACACTCCCGACCAACTCGGCTGTGTTACCTTTGGTAGGAATATTTGTATGAGTTATTTGTACACAATAACTCGTTTTACAGTATTTCACTAAAATGAGTTGTTTGCATAGTGAGTTATTTAAAATAAAAGGACGTTTGGATGGATCAATTGTAAAACGAGACAATTTGACCAATTGTTTCATTTTACAAAATGAGTCATTTAAAACGAGTCAATTCAGATTACCTGCCCCACCCCAAACAATTGTAATTGGCTCAAAATGAGTCAATTCAGAATTCCCCAGCTCGAATTGCTGCATCCAAATTTTCTGATGCCAAACGGATCAATCTAGCACAATTGACTCAAAACGAGACAATTGTGTCAGATTGATCCATTAGAATTCCTCATCCAAACGACCCCTAAATCATACCCTGTGTTATTTCATAACAACTTGTTTTACCACGCTTCTTTTACCAAATATCACATGTCAAATACCATATTTGCACGATTATACCAAACCAGATATTTTATTTCAATTACCACTAAAATACCACATGAACAATAAATAAATTATTTTGATTCCGTAGTCTATTAATACCACTTTGGCAATTAACCAATTCAAACTACCCCTTCAGGTAATTGTTGTAGTTTTGATTCATTGTGACGTGGTTACCGGAGGATAGTAATGATCAACTATCATCTTTATAGTGAAGAAGCAACGTAGGTAACAATGAATGTCAAATATAGTGAAGAAGCGAGAATATTTTCAATTGTATTAATGAAATGTAGGATGGATTGAGAATTCATTTGGAAAAGTGTTTTTGAAATTTACCTTTCAAACAAGTTACTCATCTCCCCACGATTAAATAAGTACCCAGATTAGTTATGAGTGGTCTCAGGCATTTTCCTCTATCGAAATTTGTTACCATCCAAGACTACTTTGCTCTCAGGAATTTTGCTTGGAGTAGCAACAAATCGAATCCTTTTTAATGCATGTAGACGAACCAACATGTGTGTGAGCATGTAGGTAGTGTCTGCGATGAAGATATAGATAAAGCCATGGCCTGGGGGGGGGGGGGGGGAATGTACCCAAGATTACCAGCTTTGAAGTCAAATGCAGGATTGAACGATGCATGGAATGAGCACTTCTGGCAACAAAACCCGAACCCACGGGTATCCACCTGACCCAACCCGGTCAACGCGGGTAAAACCCATGTTGACGGGTTTTGGGCCGGGTTTGGGTTTAAACCCGCCATACTATTCACCGGGTTGGGTTTGGGTTTAGGTAAACCCGCCCCATGGGTACCCTCCCACACACATATAATTACTTTCCCGATATATTTAATATTCTAAATAATATATCTTCCTTAAACAACTAATATTCTTTATGTTTGTGGAGACATGTATAATTTGTTCTTTCTAATTGTTTAGAATGAAGTTGATATGATGAAGTGGAGAGTGAAGAAAATTAGTTGACGAGGAAGAAGCTTTCAATTAATCTTATTGTTTATAGATGTTTATCTTTAATTTTGAACAATTTGTATTGATCCTTTGCGGTTTGCTTGTATGCTCTAGATTGGTGTTTTTTGTATGATTAATTTGTATGAGAAAATTGATGTTAAACTTTTATTATGAAAGAAACTTGTTATTGTAAATTTTTTACCACAAAAATCCACGGGTACCCAAGAACCCGCGGATACCCAGCGGGTTGGGTTGGGTTTGAGTTTTTCAAACCCAACGGGTTTTACCCCGGGTTTTTTTGGCGGATAAACCCATGGGTTTGGGTTTGACAAAACCCGCCCCAACCCGACCCATTGCCATCCCTACTTCTACTATGCTATATAGTATTGGTGCTTTAATGTACAACTTAAAGTTGTACCATAACATTAAATGTATATGTTTAGGTTGTACCATAAAGCAATTTGTACCATTATGTTATGGTACAACTTTACAACTTGAAGTTGTACCATCATATAAAAGTACAAGTTCAAGTTGTACCATAAAAGAATTTGTACAAAAAGTATAGGTACAATCTGAAGTTGTACCATAACGTAAATGTACAATTTTAAGTTGTACCATAAAGGCAAAATCCTATAGCACCAATACTATATAGCATTGTAAAATTTCTTTGCATGGAATATATTTATAGATATCTCACAGATGACACCCATGTTGGAAAATTGATTAACGTTGCTTGTGATACACTGTTCCATTAATCACTTCAGTAAGAAACAGATTCGTTGGACTCGAAAATAGTCAGAAGTTAAGAAAATCTCATGTCTTTGATGATTGAAGATGGTGTGAAAGTAGAGATTTGACTTGCAAGGCAAGTAGGAACGGAGAGAAGTGCAGTACACGGCACAGCCAGAAATGCCTTGGTAGTGGGCCAGTGCTGTCAGGTCGGATCGGATCACTACAGAATAATTCTCTAAATACACATAAAACTAAAATAAATTTCTAAACTATCACACTTATAAAATTTTTTCCCCAAAATACCTAAGTTTGGAGTGGTTCGAGTTTGAGAAACTCGAACTACTAACCCGTTTGAGTGTAGGAGACTCGATCTAGTCGTAGATCGATGATATAAGCCTCGAACCATGTGGGGTTGACTGAACTTGAACCACTCCTTTGAAATTTCCAACCACCTTAACTTTTTGCTCGGTTATCCGATCGTAGCAAACCTTTTTTTCATTTCGCATAACTTTTCGAGGACTACAACTTTTAAAATAGAAATATTTTCAGAATATATGTGAAAATGTGAAAATTAAAGTTAAAGTTACTCCCAAAACCCCTTATATTAAAAACTATTCCTATTTTTGAAAATGTATTCCTAGTAAATGTTGTAGTACTCAAAAAATTATGCAAAATAAAAAAAAACTTTGCGACGTTCGGATTGCGGAGCACAAAGTTATGATCCTCCAAAGTTTGACAAATTCGAAAATTTGCTCGTTTATGGGTAGCAAATGACGTTTTCTAGGAAGATTGCCATCCAAAAATTTCTCGTTTGGAAAACTATTGCCCTTTTGGCAGAAATTTCCTATATATAAAAAAATTTCCTATGCCTTCGCCCCGAGAAAATGTCATTTGTTACCCCTAAACGAGCAATTTTTCAATTTTTCCAAACTTTAGAGGATCATAACTTTGTGCTCCGTAATCCAAACGTCGCAATGTTTTTTTTTATTTTGCATAATTTTTTGAGTACTACAGCATTTACTAGGAATAAATTTTCAAAATAGGAATAATATTTAATATAAGGGGTTTTGGGAGTAACTTTAACTTTAATTTTCACATTTCTGAAAATATTTCTATTATAAAAGTTGTAGTCCTCGAAAAGTTATCCGAAATGAAAAAAAAAAAGATTGCTACGATCGGATAACCGAGCACAAAGTTAAGTTATTGGAAATTTCAAAGGAGTGGTTCGATTCACTGAACTCGAACCACTTCAGCCCCACATGGTTCGAGGCTTATATCATCGATCTACGACTAGATCGAGTCTCCTACACTCGAACCGGTTAGTAGTTCGAGTTCCTCAAACTCGAACCACTCCAAATTTAGGTATTTTGGGAAATTTTTTTATAAGTGTGGTAATTTAAAAATTTGTTTTACTTTTATCTGTATTTAGGGAATTATCCGATCACTACCCGGCCGAATCCAAGTGGCCAAGCATTATTGGCATTGCATTTGCAGGTGACACACAGTTTAGAATTTGTAATGCTCTGTAACTACGTTTTGATCTACGTATCCATGTTATAGA